GTTGGGGGGGGGGGGGGAGGGGTATGGATGTTTGCTGTAACTCCTGGAAATTATAAATGTGTCCATGTAAAAGAAACAATAAGAAATTTGGCCAGTACCAACCATGGTGCAGGAAAGGTCTTAAATACAACCCTCTCTTCCCTAACCACCTGTAAGAAAAGTCCAGTTTAGGTTAACCATATGGCTTAACCCCTGTTGATAGTACCAAAAATGACACAATTAATTCAAATGTGTACATGTGCTTCCAGAATATCCCTCCCACCCAACCTCGTCCCCAGGGCTTTTCCCTTAAAAACCATCAGTTTATCAATAAACAGATGCTTGCACTGAAAAAAATTCCAGTTTGACCAGAGAAAAGAAGATTGACAGAAGTTCGGGTTTCGGCGACTTCAAAGGCTTGACGCGGGGACTATTTTTTAAAGTTTCCTGTACTCAAAAAAGCATTCAGGGATAGGTTCTAATTCATTAATTATCAAGCACAGTGAGGCTCTGGCGCAGTTTACATGGTTTTGTATTATTAGGTGAGATTTTCCTCCTACCTTAAAAAATCCGTTTTAAATCTATTAAATTCTCGGTCGTTCCGCCATATCCCGGCGCCATATTGGATTTCTGGGGGTACCTTCGTAGCTTCGTAGCCAGGCCAGTCAGGACTTAATCCCCAGCCTCTCTCGGTCAATCCACAACACCAACAAAGTCGTCGAAGCGATGCCGTCGGAAGGTGAAGCATGTTGTTTGTGAAAAATCGGCTCTTTGGTAACAGCTAGCATTGTTAAAAAATTTAGAAGATTGCTACTTAACTTTCAAGTGTTACTTTTCAGGTGTGGAAGTGTTCTCAAATCCCCTGGCGCCTCCATCTTTGTCAGGGCATCATGGCGGACATCATAGGTACGTCATCCATCGCGTCTAACTCTTCTCGGTGATGGACGAGGTCTACATCTGAAATCTTAAACTTAATTTTATTTTCTTCTTAAAAATAACTGTGAAAAAAGAGGAAATGAACAAAACACGCTTTAGTTAGGGTAGAATTAGTCAATTCCATTCATAATCTAAGATCCATTTACACACAGAAGGACATGAAGAATTTTCTTTTTGCTTGGAAATCAAGCCTCTTCATCACCGTTAAGTATTTTTCCATGGGGAGAGGGTTACTATATATAGTTTTTGTCTTTTCTTTTTTACAATCCTTCATCTCTTTGATTTGAGATGCTTAGTTAAACAGAAATGCAGCAGATGTTTAGTTTATTATTACTTCTGTTGAAAAACAAAACGTCTTCTTCAGCCTTGTTGCATTTCAGTCAAGGTTTATAAGTCCAGAAGTTGAAGAAAAATTAAGAACAACCTTTTTCAAAGTGTAGTGACCTGATTTATGTGTATTTTGATATTTTATTATTATTTTTTTGCTATTATTAGCACATCAGCTCTGACTAATGAGGATTTCAGGAAACTTTTGATGACCCCTCGGTCTGGTGCACCATCTGTGGCTCCTCCATCAGCAAGGTCATCAAGTCACAGCAGTAAAAGCACTTCAAGCAGCATTCATTCACATCGTACCAGCAGNTTTTCTTTTTGCTTGGAAATCAAGCCTCTTCATCACCGTTAAGTATTTTTCCATGGGGAGAGGGTTACTATATATAGTTTTTGTCTTTTCTTTTTTACAATCCTTCATCTCTTTGATTTGAGATGCTTAGTTAAACAGAAATGCAGCAGATGTTTAGTTTATTATTACTTCTGTTGAAAAACAAAACGTCTTCTTCAGCCTTGTTGCATTTCAGTCAAGGTTTATAAGTCCAGAAGTTGAAGAAAAATTAAGAACAACCTTTTTCAAAGTGTAGTGACCTGATTTATGTGTATTTTGATATTTTATTATTATTTTTTTGCTATTATTAGCACATCAGCTCTGACTAATGAGGATTTCAGGAAACTTTTGATGACCCCTCGGTCTGGTGCACCATCTGTGGCTCCTCCATCAGCAAGGTCATCAAGTCACAGCAGTAAAAGCACTTCAAGCAGCATTCATTCACATCGTACCAGCAGGTGGGACATGTTTTTGTTCTAGGTATTATCCCTTTTCAGGTTAAACTGTTTTTCAAGTAGACTTTCTTGCCTGGCAAATAACTTTTTAAGCTAAGAACACCAGATGTAGTTTATCGATATAAATCTATGTTGGAAATCAATCGAAATCAACGACGTTAATCGATGATTTTGATTGATATCAGAAATCGATAGAAATAGAATTCACAGAAAAAATCATTTATCGATAATTACCGATTAACAAAATCAATAGCAATCTATAGAAATCAATAGTAATCAATAACAATTGATAAAAAAATCATCATCGATTTCTATCGGAAAATCATCGATATTAATTGAAGTCACAACTTTTTTTCTTTATCGATTTCTATCGATTGACGTCGGAAATCGATATTCTTCGATGATTGATATTGATTACTATCGATTATCGGTTTACCGATTAACTGCATCTGGAGAACAAGAGGAAAGAAAGATGTGGTGACCCCTTCTTTCAGCTACATTGTAAATTAAATGAAAATACACCAGCTAGACCAAAAATGTGATTTTAGCCTGTGACTTACAGAAATTGATTTTTAAGCCTTTCTAGGGACCATGAAGATGATGATGATGATGGTGATGAGGATGATCCATGGTCAAGAAGGAGAAAGAAAAAGAGGTTAGATTTTTTACCAATAGCCTTTTTTAAAACTTTCTTGAACTTTTTAGTAAGGTGATTGGAGAAAAAGGCGTAAAGCTTGGAATTGTATGATTTGCCCCCAAAAAGCAATGTTTGCAGTGATTTGTTGCAATAATAGTTATGGTGAGTCCTGAGACTCAACTTGTGAAAAATTATGAGTTCCAGTCCAGACCTATTGAGTCCCAATTAAAAAAAACATAATGAGTCCTAGACTGAAAATGCGTGGTCCTTTATGCAACCAGATAGTTAATCTAAAGACAGACTCCAAAACTCTGTAGTAAAGTTTACTGAAATAAATGTATACTCCTTCTGTTGTAAAGCACAACAAAGACTACACGAAATATGTGTCATTAAACAGCAGCCACAAAAATGGCGACAGAAATCATACAAATGTGACCTTCTCCAGGAAAACGTACACTAACAGTTTTCCGTTTAACGGGTAAAAACTAACAGCTAACGAACGGCTTGTTAACGGCTTTTCTAACGTCTTTAACGGGTAGGCTAACGGTTTGAACGGGCAGGCAAAAAAATCTAACAACCTACAAAAGCGTTCAAACGGATTTGCTTTGATTTTCCTAACGACTTTTTTGAACGGTTCTAACGGGTGCATTGACGGCTTCAAGAAACAATCATCTAACGGTCTAAGAGAACGTTTGATAAAAATCAAACGTTTCGAGTGATAACAGCTCAAAGAAAAGAGTTTCAACGGCTATAAAACATTATGTGTGATGAAATCAGTTGTACCTGTCTGACATTTCAAATCATTTGAGTCGTCAATAAAACCTCGGGAGACAGACCACACATAAAATTCAGTTAAAAACCCAATCTTTAAAATTCGTTTATTACTCACCAACGTTCGTCCA